TTTTTTTTTTTTTTTTTTTTTGAGTTTATTTTTGAGAGAGAAAGTCGTGAGAAGGGGTGGGGCAGAGAGATGGGGAGGCATAGAATCTGAAGCAGGCTCCAGGCTTTTTTTCTTTTTTTAATTTTTTAATGTTTTATTTCTAAGAGAGAGAGACAGTGTGAGCAGGGGAGGGTCATAGAGAGAGGGAGACACAGAATCAGAAGCAGGCTCCAGCCTCTGAGCTAGCTGTCAGCACAGAGTCTAACGCGGGGCTCGAACCCATGAACCATGAGATCATGACCTGAGCTGAAGTCAGATGCTCAACCGACTGAGCCACTCAGGCGCCCCAGCAGGCTCCAGGCTTTGAGCTGTTAGCACAGAGCCCGACACGGGTCCTAAACCCGTGAACTGCGAGATCATGACCTGAGCCGAAGTCGGAGGTTTAATTGCTGAGCCACTCAGGTCCCCCTACATTTTATGTTTTTTCTTTTCAAGTTTTCCTCGTTGTGTACATATTCTAAAGTTTTTTTTTTTTACTTTATTTAAAATTTTAGTTAACATATAGTGTAATAATGGTTTTGGGAGTAGAATTAATAGTGGTTCATCACTTACATAAAACACCCAGTGCTCATCCCAACAAGTGCCCTCTTTAATACCCATTTCCCATTTAGCCCACCCCCCACCCACCTCCTTCCATCAACTCTGTTTGTTCTTCCTCATTAAGAGTCTCTTATGATTTGTGTCCCTCTTTCTGTTTTTATCTTCCCATATGTTCATCACTTTTGTTTCCTAAATTGCACATGAGTGAAATCATACCGTATTTTTTTCCTGACTGACTTATCTCACTTAGCATAGTACACTCTAGCTCTATCCATATTGTTGCAAATGGCAAAATTTCATGATAGTAGTATTTCTACATATATGTATATATATATATATCATATCTTCTTTAACTATTCATCAGTTGATGGACATTTGGGCTCTTTGCATAGTTTGACCATTGTTGATAATGCTGCTATAAATATCAGGGTGCACATACCCCTTTGAATCTGCATATATCCTTTGTGTAATACCTAGTAGTACACTTGCTAAGTCATACTAGTTCCTCTGGTTTTTGAGGAACCTCCACACTATTCTCCAGAGTGGCTGCACCAGGTTGCATTTCCACCAGCAGTGCAAGAGGGTTCCCCTTTCTCTGCAACCTCATCAACATCTGTTGTTTACTGTGTTGTTAATTATAGCCATACTGACAGGTGCAAGGTGGTATGTTGTCATGGTGATGATTTGTATTTCCATGATGATGAGTGACGCTGAGCATCTTTTCATGTGTCTGTTGGCCAGTCTTTTTTGGAAAAATGTCTATTCATCTGCCCATTTCTTAACTGGATTATTCATTTTTTGGGTGTTGAGTTTGATTCTTTATAGATTTTGGGATACTAACTTTAACTTTATCAGATATGTCATTTGAAATCATCTCCCATTCCATTGGCTGCCTTTATTTTTTTTGGATTGTTTCTTTCGTGCAAAATCTTTTTATCTTGATGCAGTCCCAAAAGTTCATTTTTGCTTTTGTTCCCTTGCCTTTAACCATGTGTCTAGTAAGAAATTGCTATGGCCAATGTAAAAGAGGTTGCTGTCTGTGTTCTCTTTTAGGATTTTGATGGTTTAAAGTTTACATTAATTTTATAATTAGCTTGTTCAGAGCTTTAACAAAAGCTCTATTCTATTAATTAGGATCCTATTAACTTGACCACTTAACACAGGGAAAATTGATGTCATAATTGTGATGTTGAATTTTTTTTTGCTTTATCCCAAAACATGGTATGTCTTTTCATTTGTTTAGTTGTTCTTTATGTCTTTCAGTGGCATTTTCAGCTCCTCTTCATTTATTTATTTATTTATTTATTTATTTTCATCTATTCAATTTACTTTTATTTTATTCTTTTTTTAAATTTTTTAATGTTTTATTTCTTTTTTTTTTTAACAAATAGTTTATTCTCAAATTAGTTTCCACATAACACTCAGT